ACAAGGACAAAGTGAGACGCATTAGACAAGTGTATAGTGCCGGAAACCAAAACATTTTTCTCAGTGCATGTAATGTACCTCTGTGGCGCAAGTGTGGGCTCTCATCCCTAATATTGAAAATTCAGCCTGGACTCCAAATTTTTGGTCATGTGTCAAAACCAAGGCCATGGCTGTAATCTGCGTCATTAACCGAGCTCGAGGACGTGTTGCATGACTTAGTACCATCTCTGATTTTGAAATAAATTTTCCCAATTTAGGGTAAAATGGACAAAATGAGCATTTTTAAACAATGGAGTTTGGGGCCGCATAATTACATGCAATACGTCCCCAGACCAAGAGAATCGAACATTTGGCGCTTTTGAAACACCCTATTGCGGGGTTTGCCTACTCGAGGGGCACCTTACGGATGGAGCTGTAGGGAAAACCGCATACTGCTGTGTCGTGTCGTGGACCTGTGAAGCCACTCCGATTGAAAGCTGATCGCAGGTGCGCACTTCAGTTGACGGTGATGCTTGATGCTATTGGTTGTTTTGAGATGGGCGTTACATTTTTTGCCTTGTCTGCCTGTGTCAGTCAGGGACCCATATATGGGCTGAAATGAATGAAAAGCCGTAGCAAAGATATCGGGGTTACAACTGTGTCCGTGCTATAGTCTTATCTTCCTTAACAAACAAAAAGTGCCATCAGCTTATCGCTGCTATTCGTTCTGTTGTGTGGCTGCTCGCCAGGAAAGTTCGCAGTGTCAAGAAGCTCAGCGTAGAGAACAGCCGTAAGTTGGTTGCATCTCTTGAATGCTCTTCTATTCCTATAATTTAACAGTGTCGTGGTTTTTTGTGCCTGAATTGTTCCGATCTACTTGTTTTAGCTTTAGTTTTCTTTACAGTAGTTGTAAGTCTTTAGTCGATCTTGACAAATGGAGAAGTTCCGAGGCCGTGTAGCTGTGGTGACGGGAGCAAGTTCGGGTATTGGAGCTCAACTTGCCGAAGATCTGGTGCGCGCTGGACTGGTTGTGGTTGGAGTTGCGAGAAGAAGAGAGCGCCTTGAGGTAGGAATACAGGATCAACGCAGTTTGTACATGCGGTTGCACTGATTTATTGGTTGTATACCATTCATGGCACGGTGGTAGGGAAACAAACCCACGCGTCAGTACGTCTTTAGTATAAAGGCCATTCCGCTAGCTCGTACGCGCATGCGCGGGGTGTGATACTTTATCTAGAAAACTGTCATTAGCAGGGAATATGTCGGCGAATTGGTTGTCTTTCACTGTTCTAGTGTCGATTTAGTTTAGCTGTGAGCACAATGATTGGTACATTAAGGTAGTTGTCTGTGCATTTGGTAAAGCAAAGTTGCCGTATTCTTTCCTTTCCTTGGGTGTTAAACGCGTTTTGGAGGTAGTAAAGTGTATATTTTTAGTTGTTTTTTTTATCAAGATATTTTCCGTACCATGTCAGGACCACAGGACAAAGGGTAAACAAGTGAAAAGCAAAGCTTAAAGAGTGCCAATAGTTTGACATTGTTCAAAAACCCACATTTTCCAACCGTAGGCTGTTTAAAACAGAAATTTGCTAAAATTTCAAAGAAATGCCTTAGAATACAATTTTATCCCGTAGAAAGGAAAAATTACAACAAGATACGTAAAAACAAGTTTCTTCTATTGCAAGACCCGATCTCGGATCTTATGGTACCAACGGCATCCAACACCAGGTCTTGAAATACAAGACACAGTTTTTTCCGTGTGCTTTTAGACATTTAATGCGTTTTGGGGTTGAATATTCTGCCTTTGTTTTACTATTTGTTGTTGGAGTTTAGACGTTCTTTGTGGTCGATGTGCTTTTTTTCTCCCCAACGTGTGAATTTTCTAGTTAAACGTTTAACCCCCTACACTGGAAATGCAAGTGTGTGAATGTCGCTCACCTGCAGGTGAAAGACATTCCATTCGTACACTTAGGAGGGTAAAGGTGTGAATTTTTCCTGGAAATTTCACACGTTTACCCACCTAAGTGTACGAATGGAATGTCGCTCACCTGCAGGTGAGCGACATTCACACACTTGCATTTCCAGTGTAAGTGTACGAATCGATATTCACACTCCTACAAGCAGTGCGCGACATTCACACACTTGCGTTTCCAGTGAAGTAAAGCCGTCCGGAAGCTGATTACACTGCGTTTATTACTACGCGTTCGGAGGGGTATTATTAATACCTTGAGAAAGGATAGTTTCAATGCCTCTACAAAGGCATTACAAATTAACTCCCTTCGAAAGGGATGAAAACTGTCGGAAAGGGGTTAAATTTAATACCTTAAGAGATTTTCGTGCTCTTGCAAAGTCATTAAAATTTAACACACTATTAAAGGCACCAAGCCCTAGTCCTGTCTTTGTTTTTTCTGTGTAATCTCAAAATCTATTTTGCATTCAATGTCTCCCTTGTTTCACCTTTTACTCACCTTTGCTTACTTTTGATTTACTTATCTGCAACAGGCCCTTGCGTCGTCATTATCAGGTCTAGACGGGCGCCTGGAGGTCTTACAGGCAGATTTGTCGAGCGTGGACGAGGTCAAGCGAGTTTTCAAGTGGATTGATGAAAGCTTGGGAGGAGTGACAGTCCTCGTAAATAATGCTGCTATATGTCCAATTACGCCAACGCAAGGTAAAGCATGCTGAAATTTGTCATTTTTAAAACTCTTTAAACTTAAAATATCTGTTGAACCATCTACTGTCTACTTCCAAAAATAGATCAGGAACTTGGAGTCATCGAGTCTGCCGTTGCTACTAATCTTACGGCTATGATGGTTGGCAGCAATTTAGCTGTGAACAACATGAAACGGTTCAATATCAAGGATGGCCATATTATAAATATAAACAGGTAGGTCACATTTGAAGTAAACTGCTTAAAACTACTAATTGTGAAATTACCGTCTGAACATATCATTCGTCTATTTTTTATCAGTGTTGCTGGACATAAAATAATGTACAGCCCTGGACAGGACGCTTCGGTAACAACTTACACGACAACAAAACATGGGGCTGTGGCGTTTTCCAACGCTTTACGCTTTGACGTGCAAAGAATTCATGGCTTCAAGATTCGTGTAACGGTCTGTAAATCAAAAATAATATCATAGCAGCATTATACAAGGTCAATCGGCTTATCGAAACTTGAACTGGATCGTCAATCGGCAATCCTTATCAAAACTGCAGAACGAGAACCGGCAATATTTTTAAAACTGGAAACTTTTACCTTCGGGTAGAGACAGCAACTGGCGACTGTCCAATAAAACACTCTATATAGCACACACTCCAGGGCCTGCTCTGTGCTATATAGAGTGGAAGGGGGGGGGGGATTTTTCCGTCTAGTAGAGACAGTCTAAAAATCGAGACGATGGCCACTGCGCAAGGTTTGCAACTGCACGAGGTCAGTTACTGCGCGACTAATGTGTTTGAAGGGCGTAGAGGGTTTTGTTCAATTATCATTTTGCAACATGGTGACTGTTTAAGTCCCGAGAAAGATCAGGAGATCTGCTATTGCTTTTGTAAAACTTTCCTAACTCCTAATTCAAGTCTTTTAAACTTGCACGCTTTTTGCATGTCTCGCAGAGTTTGAGTCCTGGGACAGTGCGCACGGAAATGACATCGAAATGGGTGGAGCAGCTTCCCAAGGACAGGGTTCTGGATCCAAAGGACGTGTCGAATGCTGCTCTTTATGTTCTCTCGTGTCCTACTACAGTTGAGGTATGGTCCCTTGTTGTACATAAAAGGGCGCTTAAAAGGTCGACCTAAATATGGGATCCCATATTTTGGCGCGTTCCTGGGGCCTCTCGCGTATAGTACTATACACGCCAATGCGCTAAAAATGTTGAAGTGCACAATCTAAATGCGCTAAATTTCCCACATTGTTAGCGCACCTAATACGCACAATGCGCACGCGCACGAAATTTTAATTTTGGGGTCTATTGCGCAGTAATAACTCCAAAATGTTTGACTTTTTAAGAGCATTTCGATGTGCATTTCGGTGGCTCAACTAAGGCTTATTCCTAAAAAGCCAATTATGCCGCATTATATGCACATTTATGCAATTTACGCGCATTGTTGCCAACTTTGACCATTCCGTCCGCATTTGTTCCCGCGTACCTGTTTTTTATAGTTATAACAAATTGATGGTTACTGCAATTTGGCCTTTGTTACAGATATCAGAGCTTACAATACAGCCGCAAGGTGAAAGCTTTTAACCTTTACGATAACAACGACCGCTCGCAGCAAGAAACCTCCTCTCACAGATATGTGCAGACTGAATTAATTGTTGGGATAGTGTTAATTTTTGTAACTCGTTCCCTGTATATCTATCCCCGACCAGAATTTTATTTAATTATAAATATATTACAATAACCAAAATAATTTAAATTTTCAAAAATACATAGTTGACTTCTTAACCAAGGTCTCCGAGTCCACCGCTGTAAACGAGAGGCAACCACCACACACAGAATTTTCACGTGAAGGGTTTGTGTTTCTTTGATACGGTTAGAAGGACAAGGCAAAATTAAACACAATATATTTAATCAATAACGCTTTAATAATGCTTGGGCGTAAGAGAATGATGCGAGGAGGGCTAAAACGATAAGGAGCTGCCAATATAGGCGCTAAAGTAGCGCCATGGAGTGAACTGAACTGTTTGTGTGAACGATATGGTACGAAGAAGGAAAGCAGCTCATCGTATTTTAAGACTAGGAGATGTCATGATAAAACTAAGCTTAGCCGTGCAACAAGTAACTGTACAGGTTAGGTGATCTACGCCACTTTATTTTCTGGCTATGCTGTACCGGGTGCAGGCGTCCGAACAGGTTGCGTACTCGCAAGGGAGGCGCCGACGCGAGAGGCGGTTGGCAAGCACCGCCCACACAACTGGATTCAGCACCGTATAACCAGAAGAAAAGATGGCGCACATTGGTCATCCTGCGATTTTCTCTAAACTGAGTTATTGTCCGGCATGTTTAAAAGGTATTGAAGAATAGAATACCACGATCTGAATGCCTCTAGACAGGTATGAAGGTTGTACCGCATATTTCCCCGAAATGCAGTAATGCTCTGTTTCCTCATCGCTTGCATCATTATAACCAGCAGTAACCTGTAAGCACCGAACACTTTTGTTATTGAGTAGTTTTGCAATGGGCACGGTTAAAGTTGTCTCTCGTTCCCCTAGAATACAACATGCAACCAACCTGCATGTTTTAGATTTCTCATTAGCATCGTTCACCTCCTGGACATTGGAAAATGTGACCATGGATGAAGACATAAGATGAAGCGCGGCACTTTCTAGAATTTGTCCAGCGCGGCAAAGTATCCAGAAGGCTACCAGAAAAGGAATACTAGCAGCGGAAAATAGATCGAAAAATCCACGAATCACCATAAGCATAGACAAGGCGGGCGTCATGAGTATCCCGATCGTTAAAACGGTGAGCACAACTTCGATTTGTTGGGCAACGCGGGCTGATAAAGACAGCACCTGGGCGTGCATCCTAACTACCTGCAACATTTTTCGCACCGACTTCAATTCACTGCACTTGAAATAGTTAACAGTTTTGTTAGGAAAATTGTTTAATATTGGAACCTCCCCCTGAGAACGGCGCTAATGCGCACCAATGAGTATTTTTCTGGCAGCAAAACAAAACACAAACAATGATTTTTTTAGTGGAACGTCTGTACCACCACTTTCGTCCTCCCCTCTGCATTAACTGTTTAAAATAATTGTCATCTGATGACACTGAATCATTATGTCATAACTCAGATTTTGTGATTCTTCCGATTCATCGCTTTTCTGGACATGAAAACTTTTTAACACCAAGAAACATACCTTCATTGAAACGTATTCGGGAAAGTTACCGTATAAACTACTTAACTTTTCGATAAAAAGCCATCATGTGCAGAAAAGCAATAAATTAATATGTATCAAAAAATTGGAAAGCGCAAAATTTTGTGATGAAAGTATTATGAAACCAGATACAGTGGACACACTGCGTGATGACAATACCGCCCTACGTTCTGGCTTGGCTCTGCTCATGCAAGAGGGTTGGTCGTGGCAACTACCCGGCGCCGTTTTCTTCCCAAATAACAGAGACTCGTCTGAAACCCGTCAAGTTAAAGTATACTGACGTCACTACCATTTCGTCACGTTGACGTGTTTTAAATCGCGATATTTGACGAAATTTTGACGTCACAGTGACGTAATTTTGACACTTTTAGGTCGTTAGTGATATAAAAGTGACTGTAGAGAGTCAATATTACGTCAATTTGACGTCAAAATTACGTCAAACATCGCAATGTCAAACACGTCAACGTGACTAATTAGTAGTGACGTCATAGCACAGGAGTTTTAGTCAAATAATGGGGAAAACCGGGAAAAAAATAGTATTGAGCTAAAAATTTGCACACGTGTCCCTAAAAGTGTCCTTCATAACATACTAAAAGTCCCCGAAAATCCCGTGTGCGCGTCATGGTTTTTTTGATCCATTTCTCCTAGAAGGTACCAGAAGTGCCTAATGCAGTACAAATCTGAGCACTGCGTAAAGTATCAATGTGCAAATCTTGTGCGAAACGGTCGCAAATCAATATTTAATGTCTAGAGGCACTTACCGAACCAGTCCCGCAACACTGCACCCGGCTCCCTCTCTCCTAGAAGGTCCAGAAGTGCCCAATCATCTACAAATAATGCCTTTCCTGGGCTGTCCGGCGTGTTATCAGGTGCCAAACGGGTGCAAACTGGCGCAAACGTTTAGTGATACACTTTTACCAGCCGTCACAGTACTCGCAGATCATGGAGAAGGTGAACTAGTGCCCTTGCGTGAACGCCGAGGGCCTAACAGTCGCCTTGCAAGCCGCAGACGAGGTTCAAACCAGATGCAAAATGGCGCTTCAGTTGCAACAAACGAGTGAATGGGGATTTTGGGATCTCAGCACTGCTGTTTCTGCTTAAGTAACTGGTAAAGTTAAGTAAGTGGCAATGTATTTTTTATTCATAGGGCTTAAGTGTCTAAAATAGAACAGTTTAAAACGGTAAGTAAAATTAATCTTAGTTACATATAAAATTGGCGTTCAAAATAATGTGCGCTCTCATAATGGCTTAGTAATGAATTTCTTTTGTTACAGGACACTCGGATCATCTATATCTTCAGAATTCTCGAATTCTACGCTCGCCTCACCGTTGCAGCAGCTTCGTCCTCTACAATTTGCGCATACCATGGAGCAGAGAAGCCCAGCTCTTCTGCAACTGCACCG